CCCAGAGAAACTCTGAATAGGTAAGAATGAGAGGCCATCTCCCCTCACTCTCCTCTCATTATTTTGTCTCACAGAATTTACTCTTTTCTCCCTGAGTGCAGAAACAATGTAGAGGGTTTCTGATAGCCAAGAATATCAGAAGACAAATGGGGAGAGCTCAAAAAGAAAACCTCAGAACTCTTAAACACAGAAGCCTGTTAATTAATAATTAAAATAATCCATGTGTGTAACAGAGGAGGGTGTATGGGAACTGGCTTTGATTTTGGTTACAAATATCTCCTCTAACACGTCAATGTCCTTTTCTCCATGAAGAGATCCCCATGTGTAGCCACAGCAAATGTCCAACAGCAGCTCCATCAGCCACTTCCTCCTGCTGCCATTGGCAGACACACGGCAGCTGCAGCTCCTGCACTTCTGCCTCTTGCTGGGCATCTCCCTGGCTGCCCTTCTGGGCAATGGCCTCATCATCAGCGCCGTAGCCTGCGGCCACCACCTGCACACACCCATGTACTTCTTCCTGCTCCACCTGGCCCTCAGCGACCTGGGCTCCATCTGCACCACTGTCCCCAAAGCCATGCACAATTCTCTCTGGGACACCAAGGACATCTCCTACTCAGGATGTGCTGCACAGCTCTTTTTTTTTGTGTTTTTCTTTTCAACAGAGATTTTCCTCCTGACTATCATGTGCTATGACCGCTATGTGTCCATCTGCAAACCCCTGCACTACGGGACCCTCCTGGGCAGCAGAGCTTGTGCCCACATGGCAGCAGCTGCCTGGGCCAGTGCCTTTCTCAATGCTCTGCTGCACACAGCCAATACATTTTCCCTGCCCCTGTGCCATGGCAACAAACTCGGCCAATTCTTCTGTGAAATCCCACAGATCCTCAAGCTCTTCTGCTCCAAATCCTACCTCAGGGAACTTGGGCTTCTTGTGTTTTCAGTTTCTTTAGGTTTTGGTTGTTTTGTGTTCATTGTTTTCTCTTATGTGCAGATCTTCAGGATTGTGCTGAGGATCCCTTCTGAGCAGGGACAGCACAAGGCCTTTTCCACCTGCCTCCCTCACCTGGCTGTGATCTCCCTGTGACGAAGGAAGGAGACCAGGACATCAATTGATCATCACAGGCCCCATTTTATTGATCAGTACGGCGGGTTAAATGCAGTTCATAATGAACTTCATGCATATTGCAAAAGTTGAGCTCAGGATTGGTTAGTTACATATCAGCAGCTACACCTACTTCTGCATTCCTATGGTTCTACTTTTGATACTTTCTACATATTCTTAGGAGATATTCAGGAATAATCTCTACTCCCTNCATTGCACATCCCCACATGCCAGTGCCCATCCCGGGAAGAGCCCTGAGCAAGGAGGGAGGGACAGGATCTGCCTGGCCAGGGGCTGGGGCTCAGGCCTTGGTCCTTTGCATTCCTCAAACACATCCATGTTTGCTCAGTACCAGAGACACCTTTGCCTCGTTTGTCCCCAGCTATCATAACTGCCTCCAGTGTTCTGCTCTAACTGGAACCTGGGGACACTTTTTGAGTTGTGTTCCTCACTGGGACCCCATAACAACTTCAAGAAACTTCAGACTTTCAATTTAAGTTTGAGTTCTTGAGAAGTTTTTTGAAGACTCTCTTAGGGACTGAGTCTGATGTAAACAACACCAAAGCCCCAAGAGGGTCATTAAAGTCCTTGTGCTGTGTCTGTGCTGATGAGCTGGGCTGGGCTCCTGGCACAGAGGCAGCTCCTGGCAAACCAAGAAGAGCTTCAAAAAGACATTTCTCCTGAGGAGCAGCTCCTCTCCTGGCCCAGCAGGGCTGGGGCACTGCCTGCAGCCACCCCGGGCACAGCACAGAGGCACAGAGAGCTTCAATCAGTCAGGGCTGGGAAGGTGCTGAGTGCCTGGGGCAGAATCACGGCCAGCCCTTGGCATAGGAACCTCTGGCTGCAGGACAAGGCAGCTGCAACTCCTTGAGCCATCTCCTAAAGCTGGAACATCCCAATGCCTACAGACTCTGTGAGTAAAACTCTGATTATTTCTGGTGCGGGGGGGGTGAAATGCTCATGAAGCTTTGACATGCTGAGGAATGCTGCTCAGTCATAAAATATTTCCAATACAAGGATTTCATCAAAAATTAGGACATTTCCAAAGACTTTGTGTTCAGTTTCCTAATATTGGAGAATGGCAGGGAGTGGGGGAATTAACATTAAAGATTGATTATGAATTATTAATTATGAAATTTTACAAGTATCTCAGAAATCTGAACTGTTTCTTTCAGTGATCAATAGGTTCACAGGAGATCTCTAAGATGTTTTCAGCCTCTCTGCCCATGGACAACAACATCATCCCCTTTGCTGGACCCATCAGACTCAGTCTGAGCTGTCCTTTGTCCCATCTGCAAACAGAACCTGCCCCAGCCAGTGCTCTGCAAAAAGGCAGAGTCCTGTAGGGCCGAGGAGAGGGCACAGAGGTTTGGGGTCTGTGAGTGCTGGCAGGGAGAGATGAGGCACAGGGAAACACCTGCAGGAGGAAAATCTCCAGGAAGCAGAGAGAAGATCAGGCAATGAGAGAAAACAAACCCCAGCAATGCTGTGGCAGGGAGAGTTTAGAGATGCCCACAGGATCCCTTGCAGTGCAGCCCCTCCCTNGCTTCTCATCTACCCCTAAAATTCTGGAGTTCTTGCTTTCCTTCCTGTGGGAAAGAACTCTCCTCCTCCAGGGGTTCATGACTGAAGCTGGGATTCTGCCTCCATATTTCATTCAATCCAAATATTGTTCCCATATGAAACCTGCAGAACAGAAAGCTTTGGATGGCCTTGGCATCTTGGGGGTCACCTCTCTTCTGCCTTCAAAACAATGGAGGGGGCTAAGCTTTTCTTTCCATGGAAAAACATCTTTCAGGTCCAGGTGTCCATAGCCAAAATTCTTTATATCCAAGGACAGCTCCCAGACAAAAGCTGCCAGGACTGTCTAGGTTCCCTTGGCTTCCTGAGGCCAGCTCTCACCTGCCTATGAAACACTGGGGCTCTGTACTTCCCTTCCTATGGAAAAGAACTGTCCCTCTTGTCCAGGTGCCCATGGACAAAACTGGGATTTGGCCTCCCAAACTCTGTCTATCCAATGATTGCTCCCAGACAAAAGCTGCCAAGACAAACAGGTCTGACTGGCCTTGGCCTCCTTGGGGCTGCCTCTAATCAGCCTTTAAAACACTGGGGCTCTGCCCTTTCCTTCCTGTGGAGAAGAACTGTCATTCTGGTGCAGGCACTCATGGCTGAAATGGAATTCCATCTCCAAAACTCCCCAAATATCCAAGAGTTGCTTTCAGACAAAAGCTGCAAGGACAGACAGGTCTGGCTGGCCTTGGCCTCTGGTAACTGCCTCTGATCTGCCTTCAAACCCCTGGGGCTCTGTGGTTTCCTTCCTGTAGAAAAGAACCATTCTTCTTGTCCAGGCATCCATGGCCTCAAGCACATGAGCACTGTACAGGGACAGAGAAGCTCTGTTCTCAGTGGGGTGGAGACTGAGGACAGCAGAGGGGAGCCCTGGGAGGGATTGAAGAGTGGTTTCAGAGATGGTGGATCCTTCTGACACAGTAGAGAACAGCCAGAGAGAACCAAAAAAATTAATGCCAAGGGCAGCTAGGGAGGCCCAGACTAGACACAAGGAGACAGGAATTTCTCTCCCAGGGCAGGGCTGTGGTTCAGCATGTCCCCCAGAAGGAGTCTGGGTCAGCCCAAGGCTTTGCGTGGGCAGGCAGAGGCAGGCAGGAGGCAGAGCTGTCAGCAAAGGAAGGGCCCAGCCAGGTGGGGCAGCTGGGGGATGCCGACAGCCTGCAGGGACAGAGGCGCAGGGCAGGGACACCGTGGGACAGCCTGGGCTG